TGAGAGAATAAGTAGCTTGTCCAAAGTCAGCTCCCAGATGGCATAGCTGGGATTGAAACCCAGTTCAAATGTAATTCTTGTCACTATCTCTGTGAGCCCCACCAAAAGAAGAGATCTCCACCGTAGCTGTTTCCTAGAGACCACCAAGTGTCAGAAATAAAAACCAACATGATCCTCAAAGATGGGATGAGCTGTCACACACTTGCTAAGGCAAGGAAGTGTATCGAGGCAACAAGAAAGACCTTCTAAAGTGTTTTGTTCAACCCTTAGATAACCTGGATCCTGGTTTTCAAATACGACAGGCAGTTGAGCTTTCAGGGTTTTCCCTTTAAAACTGGTATGCTCTAAAAATGAATTCATTACCTTCCCAACCAAAACTTCTATAGCACAGATTCTAATTACTGTGTCCTTGTGACCTGAAGGCCCTCCATGGCCTACCCACCTGCAGCTCTCTGATTTCATCTTCCTTGCTGTCTCTGCTCTGCCCACACGGATCTTGCTTTCTCTCCAACACTTGGAGCACACTCCCACCTCAGGACCTCTGCACATGATGCTTCCGTCTCTGGAGGGAAACTTCTGTCCCCTTCACCCACAGTAATGGCCGGCAGTACCCCTCTTTCTGCCCTAAACTAAATCCGAGTGCTCTGAGGTCAGCAGACCATCTCACTTCCTCTCATTCTTCCACTCTTAGATTCATGAGTTTGCGGGGGAAACGACAAGTTTCTCCTTTCACAAGAAAGGCTGAGGTGCATTTTAGACACAGGTTGAGCACACTCTGTTCACCTAAATACAGGAAAGTGCCCTGAGAATGACAGGATTTTCTGTGAGTGTTTATGAAACAAAATCGAGTTTCTCTCCACACCTACAGAAAAGAAACATTCCCAAGTGTTCACCACTGCACAGAATGGGTGGACCAGGTAAGGAGAGGGTCTCTTTACTGGAGACCTGCTTGCTTTATAATTCAGGGAGGACGGGGCTTGGATTGTAAATGTGTGACATCAGTGGGGAGATGGGGTTACAAAAGGAGAAGCTGAGTTCAATCCTACTAGAGAAACCAGAGCATGACAAATAAGGCTGCATTACAGAGGAATCTGTAAACCCAGGCTCATTCTGCCAGATACCTTTTTCCTATTTTTTTCCAAATTTCAGCCTGCTGTTTTAAATGGCAACTGGGACAGCACAGAGGCTGTGATTTTTCACCTAGGAAAATTTACAACTTAAGGAAGCGGTGGGCAGGGAACAAACACACATAGAGTGTATTTATCCCCAGTGTCTGGATGTAAACAAACTGCAAGAAGGTAGTAAAAAAAAGCAAACAGGAATGTGGTTTCCAAGCAAAGCAGTACTCAAGATTTTTGTTTAGATGTCATCAGCCACCCCCGATACTGCCCACACTATGCAAGATGTGATCAGGCCTCTGCTAAGAAACTGCAGCTTTGATATAGGTGAGCCCTGCACCACTGGGACCCACCCAAAGCCTGGCAAGGCAGAAGCGGGTGCTCAGAAACCACATCACAGACAAAGCACTATAAAGCTAACCATTTTCTCCAAAGGTGCAATATTATAATTGGGTGATAACTTTTTTATAAGAATCGATAAAATATAGATCCTAGGAAATAACAGAAGATAGGCCACTCGAACAACACCACGTCTAACCATCTCCTCAATCATTTAAAATTGTTAAGTTATATTTAAAGTCTTTTAAAATGGGCAAAAATGTACTGTGCTTATAATACTCCACCAGTGGCCAGCATAGGTCTGGGTTGGGGGGAGACATCTTTTGAATGAAGGAGGAAGTAGAACATTTAAATACACATTAAAAAAAGGATAACAAACCTAGAGTATACATTTTGTCTCAATCAGTGATTCTCAAACTTTTTGGGGCCAGTACGCTTTTATATATTTTTTAAACAATTGGAGATCTCAAAGAGTTGTTTTTTATGTGGTTACTGTACAGGATTTTAAAAACTTTATTCATTCACCTAAAAATAACAATAAACCTATTTATCGTTTATGTTAATATAAATATATTTTTTTATGAAAAATAACTAGTTTCCAAAATGAGAAATATAGTTTTCAAAACAAAACAAATAGTGGGAAGAAGGGCATGGTTTTACATTTTTGCAAATTTAATGTGTAGTTCAATAGTAGACAACTGGATCCTCATATCTCTGCATTCAATCAGAAGATATGTGATATCACATGTCTGCTTCTGGAAAACTTCAACATACACTCATGAAAGAATGAGAATGAAAAAGGCAAATATTGTCTTAGTACTAGTATGAAAGTACTTTCGATCTCATGGAGTTCTCAGAGACTTCCAGGGGTCTCCAGCCCATACTTTCAGAGCCACCGCTCCAGATCAATATGCCAGCTAAAATTAATATCAAGCATCTGCTTGGCTTACAAGCCATCTTAGTATGTGCAGCAGGCAGAATTTATAAGATTGGCCCATTTCCTGCTCCCTGATGTACATACTGCTGTATAATTTTGGGAACTTATGAATATAATGAGATAGTCGCTTCCATGATTAGGTTATGTATATGGCACAGTTGACTTTAAGAATGAGAGACTATTCTGAGTGGACCTGACCTAATCAAGTGAACCCTTAAAAGGGACTGGGTTCTTCCTAAAGAATAGATTGAAGTGTGAGATTTCATTAGTTGAACACAAGTGAGGTTCTCTGTTGCTGGCTTTGGAGGTGGAGGGGGCCACGTGGCACAGAATGAAGGTAAAACCTCCAGTGGCTGAGATTGGCTCTTGGCTGATAGAAATGGGACCTCAGTCCTACAACCACAAGGAAATGAAAATACTTTTTTTTCTCTTCAGAGTCTTCCAGAAAGGAATGCAGCCTGACTGAAAACCTAATTCAGTGGGATACCTTCAGCAGAGAGAATCTAGTCATACCTATACCTGCCTGAAATTCAGACCTACAGAACTGTGAGATAATGAGTATTGTTGTAAGCTGCTAAATTTGTGGTAATTTGCTACACAGCAATAGAAAACTAATACAGTATGTATTATTTTAAATTTATTTTTACACAAATAATCATAAATACGCCCTTGTAAAAAATGAAAACATCATTGAGAGATTAAAAGTTCTCTTTGATCCCTCCTATTCTAACCAATCTTGAACCCCTCCCTACCCCCTTTTCCCAGGGGTAGAAATATCCTCTTTGTTGGGTATGAATGGGTCTATCCAGACCTTTTTCTATACATTTATGTACATACACATGTACCAACAGAAATATATAGTACTGATGTGGTTTATTTATTTTCCTCATGTTAACTTCAGAACACTATGGGAATTAATGCTATAGTTGGCCCAGGTCTCTTAAAAAAAAACCAACTCTGACTTGATGTTCTAGAGCAGTTTCCCTATGAACGATGGAAGCATTTGAACCACTTTATTGGTCTTAGATCTAAGCTAAATAGAAATGTATTTTAGAGATTAAAATGGTGAGGCTGGGGTTCCACCAGCTGAGAAGCATTTAGAGGCAGGGCTGACCTCACTTTTCTGGTTTTCCACCTGTCTCTCAGGTTATTCACAGCTAGGATGAACCAGCTCAATTATAGGCTCAATTCCAAGCCACCAGGGAAACAATGGTGGCTCTCTCCCAAAGTGACCTTTAATGGCTATCTTTCCCTGCCTTCATCACCACTGGAAAATCAAGGAACTTCAGATCTTTCAAAGATATGCTGATTCTCTCATGATTTAAAGAACAATGAATAGGTGTGACCTTTTCAGAAACAAATCTATGGCCTAAACCTATATTACCTCCAGGAGCCAGGACAGATTTCCTTTGACAGTGGCCCACGGTGCCAGTGTGTGTAGGGTGGTACCTTGCCCAAGGAGTAACCCTTCAATTTAGTTTCTGATAAAACCTTCAGAAACAAGTTTTCCAAGTGGCTTTAATGATAGGTTCTCAGAAAGAATCTGCTTTCTCAAGTAAGTTTGTCCTCCAAACTCAGAGCTGATGGGCCACAAACCTCTGTGGATAAAGTGTACATATTCTGCGTTTGCGCAAGGAAGAAGACATTAACAGTCGCCAGTGACAATGTCCTTTCTCCTTTGCTAAGGTCACCTCACCTTGTGCTCCCCTGACATCACAGTGGCCCTGACATTTTATAACTAACAGCAGAGACTGCCCCCTTCCTTCTTTGGCCTTTTGTGATGTTGAGTTTGCCAGGGGACCTCTGGCTACCTACTTGTTCTGGGTGGGCAGAGAACCTCACCAGTTCATAAATCCTCGGATAGACTGTGCCCATTAACAGGGGTTACACTTACTTTCTCCTCGAAAAGGCTGTACCCACCCACCCACCCACACCCCTGATCCACAGATTTTCCATGCTCCCTGGCTATTCGGGTAGAACCATCCCACAACTATGAAAGCACAGGTGTTTGGGTATGGAGCTCTGCCCAGTGGGGGGCCACAGCCTTTGGACAAAAAATCCATGCATGGAGCTGCGGCTGGTTAACCTCTTTGCACTTTTGTATCTATGCGAGTATATGTTTCTGTTCCCTTTTCTGGAGAAATCTTCAAGTGGATAAAATTCCCAAGGTTCACCCAAGGGGAGAAAACATGCTTGGAGCATCTACAGTCAAGGAAAGGTTTGAGCGAGTCTTGAAGCTGGTCCAGGGCCATTGAATACAGGCTTCTCAAAGTGACTTCAGAGAGTGGAAATACCCCAAACTTTCCTTCCATACAATCAATTTGCCTTTAACGAGGAGGGAAGGAAAAAACGTCCCCCAAAGTAGGCGGCCAACTTTGGGTAGTTTGTGATATACTGCTTAGTTAAAAAGGGGCGAGGGCTCTCTTGTTTCACCACGCTGGAGATTTTCAGGGAGCTGGGGTTTTGTGACGAGCCGCGGCTAACCGGGACCGGCGCAGGAACAGAGGCAGAGCAGCGCGGAGGACGGCGCGGGCTGCCCAAGGGCGGAGCGGGCGCCGCTGCGCTGACGGCCGCGGCAGAAAGGGGGCGGCCGCGCCCATTTCCTCCGCTCCGCCTCCGCTGGAGGGATCCGCATCGGCGAGCGGCAACCCAGTGTCAACCGCGGCTCCTGGTGCCGGCTGTGGCCAGACGGCTCCGACCGAGCCCGCGGCGGCCGCCAGCTCTCCGAAGCCCGCCGCGCGGTTCGCGTTCCGGCTGCCCGCATGGACGCGGCGCTGAAGCGGAGCCGCTCGGAGGAGCCGGCTGAGCTCCCGCCGGCGGCCCGGGACTTGGAGGAGGAGGAGGAAGCGGGGATAGAGCAGGAGCTGGAGGAGGAAGAAGAGGTGGACCCCCGGATCCAGGTAGGGCGCGCGGGGGCCGCCGCGGAGGTCGGCATCTGCACCCGCCTCGCCGCTCCCGCGTCTGCGGTCCCGGGTGGGGGTGGTGGCGACGTGGTTCCAGGGGCAAGAAGAGGGGGTCTGGATACCCGATTTCACTCGGTTCATGAGGAGGCTGCAGTGCCCGCGTGGATGCGGCCCGAATATCTTGCGGGGTTGACCTCGGGCAGAATCCGGGGGTCGCCGCAGCGTGCCCAGCGGTTGAGCGGATGTGCAACAAAGGGAAAAAGGGGGCGGGGGTACCCCAGCTAGGCTCCGGGCGCCGCGGGCGCTGCACAGCCTCCTGGCCCTGGGAGGAGGGGTTGGCCGTCCGGGGTGGGCGTTGTTCGCCCCTGCAGCGTGGGCTGGCACCGGTGCCATGGGTTCCGAGTCCTCACCTGACAGAGGTGCCCGGCCTGAGCCATCTTCGTCCTCCTTTTATTCGTCGTTACCGAACTGAAGCTTTTTTATAGTCATCACTGTTTCAACCCTCTACTTGGCCTGAAATGCTTTAAAACCCAGCTTTTCCTTGTTATATGAGGTCGGGTGTGAATAGAAATCAGGAACAACTGATGCGCAAAGCTGACGCGGGGAGAAGGCAAGGGGATTGGCCTGGCTCTGTGAGCCTCCATTTCTAAGGGAGATGATTAAAAAACAGTTTCCAACCGGAGATCTAGGAGTGACAGCTTAATCTCTTCACTCTCTACGCAAAAAGCACAGCAAATCCAAAACCCGTTTTTCTACCCTTTCCATAAATCTTTATATATTGCTTTTAAGTAGGTTTTGCAATTCCTGGAGCCCTAATTGGTTTTTCAGTGCACAGATCAATTAAAGCTCATTTAATTCAACTGTTGCGGTTTCAATGAATTGTTTTGGCAGATTAGCAAGATAAGATCAGGTGGAAAAATCTTCGCATTAGAAAATTTAAAAAAATCATCAGTTTGGTCTACTGTTATCTTGTTTTCTTGGTACAGGAATTGTGTTAACAAGATCCTTTGTTTGCAGAGTAAAACGAGTTAACTTCATGCTGGGTACTCTTTACAAAATTTCAGTTTGTAAATGTTTCTTTAAAGACAGATTTTTAAAAGCTATTTTTAAAAAAACCACCTAGAGATATTGAATAATTGGCAGTTTGAAAACATTTTCATCTCTATAGAAAAATACTCAGCCACCAATGAATTAATGCCAGAATTCTGCCCTCGATTTAAATCATTTCACTGGGTTTATACTTTTGGCTTGGCCTTATTTTATTGTCTTTTCTGCAAAGTTCTTGCTGTAAGGCAGAAGGTACTGTTTTGATTCAGCCCCTAAACCATTTTGTAACAAGTGGGTTTATCTCTGGTCACAAACCTGGAATAAATATTCGACCTAAAAAAAGACAAATTCCTGGGACCTTGTGACAGTCTCAAAAGGGATACCATCAAGAAAAAGTTTTCAGAAATGCTGATATTCATTTGCTCTACCAGCCAAGGCTCAACTATTTTTCTTGAGAATTAATATTGATTCATCCCTCTTCCCAAATCGTGCTGGAGTAATTTTGCAGGTAATGGGCTGAGTCATATTGGAAACAAAAGACAATCTTTTAAATCTTTTTTCTCCCTCTTTTCTTTGTTAGGGAGAACTGGAGAAGTTAAATCAGTCCACGGATGACATCAACAGGCGGGAGACTGAACTTGAGGTACAGAAGACCGGGTCCTTGTTCTTTTTTTTTTTTTTTTTCTGGGTCCCTGTTCTTGGTGAAGTGGTGTCATTCCCGCTGACACTGGAATGGTTAATTTTGTTTTAATAGCTGGAGGGCGATTGCTGGCGTCCCCCCTTCGAGTTGAGCAACAGCCTGCTGTCTGACAGAATAAAATATACCACTGAGCCCAGCTTGTGGGTGGAACACATGTGGATCCAATTTCACATGTTGTTTTTCATCGTGGAAGCTCTGGCGGCCAAAACCAAGGTCTTTACACATGCTTAAGCCCTAAAGTTAATGTGTCTGTGAAAAAGCCGAAAGAACTGAGGTGAAAATGAGCCGAACTCTTTAATGGAGAGGAGAATAAATTAGTTCACAATCTCTTTTCAATATTTTAGGGCGGTTCCTCACGTTGTACTTGGAAAGATTGTGTGTTTTCTCAGACTTAAAGCTTCTTTGACTTTCCTGGTCCAATAATTCACCCCCTTCTACTTCCTTGCTCATTTCTTTATTGGCTGCTTCTGTGTAGAATATAATTATCTTAATGGCAAGGAAAAGCTGTTTAGACTGGGAAGGGTTTTCCTGCTGGGAAGAATCTTGGGAGACTAGATCCTGATTTGAATTTCATGAGCATCTTCCAACCTGAGTATAAACAGATTAGCATTCTTCACAGCTACCAATTAGTCTCCATCCCTTTTCAGTAGTGGTTGGTTTTACTATCCATCAGCAAATTCGAACAACTTCCACATATATCTGAGAGCCCGTAAATGACTCTGTCAGATGAAGGGAGCTGTTGGGAGGACCTATTTCTGTAGCAGAAGAAATAGCTGGGAAGGTCAGTAGAAAGGGCAGGAAACATCTGGTTCCTAAGAGGTGCAGGAGATAGGAATGTAATCTATCAGCAGTATACTGACAACTTGATTTCTGACTGCGTGCTGTGCCGAGGGCCCGGAGGCACCAAATTTGGATGTGGGAGTGGGGATTAAAAGCTTGTTTTCTGAGCTGTGTGTGAAGGGTTATCGCGAACCCCTCTATTCTGATTATAGGCCGCCCTTCTCCCCCAAGTGGAGTAAAATCTGTGTTTAAGTGTTTTTCATTTGTGATGAATCCAGTCTCTTTGTTGGGCAATTGAAATCTCTCAGAATCTCAGATCTGCAATATATTAAACAACATCAGAAACCTTTTCTATAGGGATTTACAGTTCACATAGTGTTTTTATAAGCTTTATCTCATTCCATCCTGTCAAAACTGCCTAGAATTGTACTGTCCAATGTGGCACCTCTGGCCACAGTGGCTGTTTGAATTTAAATGAATTAAAATTAAGGTTAAAAATTTAGTTCCTCAGTCACACGTTTTAAGAGCTCAATAGCTACTGTGTTAGAACAGAGAATACTTCCATCATTGTAGAAAGTCCTACTGGACAGCACAGGCCTGGAGAGTTGAGAAGGCGGGCCTACCTCTTCTCAGGTGAGGACACAGCGGCACAGCATCCTCATGGTTCGACAACATGGCAGTGTCATTTTCCAGATCCCCTCCAGCTCTCATATTCTACCATCTCAACTATGAATGGACAAGTTGGAAGTAGTCTTTTTTAAAGGGCTGATTGATTTATTCATTCAACAAATATCTGTGTCCCTGCTCTGTGCTGGCTACTGTTCCAGCAGCGCTTGATTAGCACCTTCTGTGCGTAAAACTGTCTCATCTGTTGAACTCTTTTTAGCCCTGATTTCTGAATCCTTTTTCTGAATACACTTAGGTATTTATGTGTCACAGGAAGCTGCAGGACAGGTGTTTCCTACCTTGCTCTGGTGAGCACTTGGCAATGGCAGAGAGAGGCGGTCAGAGCTGGCCTGTTGCTGGCTGACCTTTTCATGGTTGTTACAACCAAGATAGACTCAGAAATGTAATGCAAGCTATGTAAGTAATTAACATTTCTCTAGTAACCATGTTAAAAGTAAAAAGAAACAGCAGAAATTAATTTAAATCTATTTTTATTTAACCCAGAATGTCCCAGATTGTATAATTTTAACAGGGAATCAATATAAAAATCGAGATTTTCTACAGCTATTTTTATACTAAGTCTTCAAAGTCTTGTGTGTATTTTTACACCTAGAGTACCTCTCAGTTTGGACTGGCCTCTCAGTAGCTACATGTGGCAACCAGGCAGCCTGGGTCTAATCGGTGTTTCCTGTCAGACTCACAAAGGAGCACTGGGGTTTCACCCTCGGTGCCGGCTGTCTGGATTCTTGTCATGCTGCCGGAGCTGGAGGGGAGGATGGAGTCTGCGCGTCTGTTTCCTCAGTCAAGCCCTGGGCACCAGCCTTGTGTCAGCACAATGTGGGCAGCTGCAGACACCTGGGTCAACCAAGGTCTTGCCCTCAGGGAGTTTACATTTTAGTTGGGGGTGAAGAGTGGAGAGGTGGCCTGTAATTACTGATTGTAATAATTTTTTTTAGAGTGTGGGGACAGAGGCCCTGAGAGAGGAGTCACCTGTAGCTACGTGAGCACAAGCCTGCAGAATGAGAGTCCACGTGCAAAGAGTAGCAGATGGTGTGAGCAGTGAGGGTGGTGGAGGGGAGTGTGCCAAAGGATGTGGGGCAGGAAACAGAGTCATTTTAATATTTGGTTGATTCTCATTATTCCTGGTAGTTGTTTTCCATAAGTTGCTGTGAACATTTAGTTAGTGAATACTGAACCATGACTCCCGGGGCGGGGGTGGGGGGGAGGGGAGTGTGTGTGTGGGGGGAAATGTGACCGGAGGCCTGCAAGACCTTAACCCTGTATTAGGTTCCTGCCTGCCTTGGGTCACAGCATTTTTGTCAGCCGACCAATACATAACCTTGTTTTATGTGTGTTTCTGTTTAAAGACACCTTTTTCAATGTATTTTATTATTAATGTTGAATTCACGAGCAGCAGCACAATGACTCATGGCCTGCACGAAGCCTATTTAACACACGTGTGTTCTCTGTAAGACATCACGGCTTTCTTGGGCTTAGGAACGCTAGACGGCACTTGAGCACTAGGCTTGGAGGCCATTTTAAACATCAGAATCACCAGTAAAAAGCACAGAAGTGCAAAAACCGAGGCACTAAATGGACTGTGTAAAGGACACTTGTTTACAGCATGAGAGCTGAAACAAGAAGGCAGAGCGTCAATTTGCTTGACCTCGGCCTGGAATGTACACGTTGGGTGACTCAAATTTTTTTGCCACTCCATTCATGTCCATGAATGACCGTACAACCATGAGTATTGATTTTGGAATTGTGAATAAATTTAGTGAGTGTGGCATCTGCAAACAATGAGGATTGACTCAATAATTTCAGAACCCCTAGAGGGGGGTCTTTTGCTCCCCACATTTTGTTTCTCTTCGCTTTTTGATTATGGTCTGGAGTGCCCAGCACCCCTCCTGACTTTGGCTCTGATTAAAGCCAATTGGTGACCAGGTTTGTAGGGCCTGCTACTTTGCTCATAGAACGTGTACAGTTGTCTCTGGGCAGCTGTAGGCTGAGGTGCAGGCCTGGATTGGCCTTTAGCATCCCATCCTGTGTTTTGGCTGTTTAAATCGGAGATTATCAAAGGTACCAGCCACCTGCATGTTGTCAGCCGGGTATCTGCCTTTTCCTGTACCTCGCTTTGCCTCTGACCTTGTTTGAATAGTGCTGTACCCCTTTTGTTCTCTGATTTATATCAGGAGGGCAGCCTCTTCAAGCTGTCGAAGGGAGTAACCTTTTCACCAGAGAGGGCCCTGGTTTCAAATTAAGAAAGTAAATATATTTTCCTACAGACACCTCTTTGAGTGTATATTGAGCAGTGAAAAGAACGGACAGAACTCCCTGTCCTCCTGATGCGTATATTATCCAGAGAGGGAAATGCAGTAAACAATTCAAATACTCAGTAGGTTACATGGTGACATATGCTAAAGAGGAAAATAAGGCAGGAAGAGGCCTTGGCAGTGTGGGCATTGGGGGGCATGGGCGAGAGGGGGTACAGTGTCACGAGTAATGGGTGGAGGATGTCTGGAGAGAGTGAGCGTCAGGGCCACGTGGGGGAAGAGCATTCCAGCCAGAGGGAGCAGCCAGTGCTAAACTGGGAGCTCGGCCTGGCCTGGCTAAGGACCAGCAAGGGGAGACCAGTGTGCTGGAGGTGGGGTGAGCGATGGATAGAGGAGAAGGAGAGATTCAGAGAGAGAGAAATGAGTCATTCAGTGTGTAACGGCCCTGCCAGGTGAGGCAATGCAAGTAAGTATGCTGATGTAATTTTCCAAGGCATGTTGTATAGAGCTATCTTTTTCCAACTGTTTGTTAAAACAAGACGCAGCACAGAGAACTTCTAAATCTCAGATTTGCAGTATTTCATGCAAATTGTTGTTAACCGTGATGTATAGTGTTTTCATTATTTCTCTTGCTTGCTCTGAAGGTGGGCTGTTCTAGGGCACTGAAATGGTCAGAGAGGAGGAGGAGGAGGAAGGACACAGCCAGACCTAGCTTTTCTGGCTCTGAGTAATTAAATGCTGCCTTTTCAGCCTACCCTTCCCTAGGGAGGCAAAGCGGTTTGTTGTAAATGTTCATGCTCTTTCCCGCACTGCTTGGGTGGGATGGTTTCTTGGCAGACTTGTAGGGTGGTTTGAAAAAACATTTGATTCTGGACATCCGTGTTCCCCAAACTTGCATAAGACCTGCACCCAGAATTTGTCTTTCCCCACTCCAGAAACCAGCAAACATTTTCTCTTAATAGTTTTGAGCTTGGAAACCGGGGGGTGAGAGAGGGACAGTAGGGGTGAATTGCAAGCAGTTTGGGCTCTCTAATGGGTTATTAGCACAAGTCAGGGGAGGGGAAACGTTCTTTTCTGAAAGGATAGTGTTGTCACATCTTAGCACTTTGTCCTTCAAGATGCGCACGCACCTGTGTGTGTGGTGTGAGTGGATGCACACTGGGGGAAGGGCCTATAAAACATCAGGTACGTTTTGAAGAAAGTGCTAGAGAATGTTTGAAGTGA